AGTTTAAGAGCTCTAAACTGAACTGACTGATAAGACGAGAGCTCTAAACTGACACTGAACTGACTGCCAAGCAATCAGTCAGTCAGTCAGTCTCATCAGTTTGGATTGATTGTTAGCAACTCTGTTCCCAGGGCATGTTTGCCAAACCTGGTACCTACGACGTGATCATGCGCTACTCATCCCTAACACCCAAGATCCTACCCGACAATCTTGCAGCACCACGCGGCATCGGCATGAAGATCTTCGGCATCGAGGGCGAGAAGATTTGGGGAGAAGACAAGAAGACGCAAGACTGGACTTTCAACAACTACCCAGTCCTCGAGCTACGCGATCCACAAACCACCTACGACATCGCAGACGCCTTGGAACGAAACTGGAACGACCTGCCCACGTTTGCCGACGAGCAGAGCAAAAGATTAGACGCAGACGTCGCAACATTGGGTGGACAACTACCAAAGCAGCACATGGTCGCCATGCCAGAGTACTCACAATCCGCCTACCGCCACGGCGCCTACGTAGCCAAATACGGCGTCTTCCCCGCTAGCCAATTCCAAAAGGATCTCGAGAACACTGAAGTCAAGGACTCGGACCCCATCAACATCCTCTCCCAAACCCTGCGCACACACCACCTCAACAACACCATCTCCTACAGCTTCTGCGCACAGCTCCTCCAAGACCTCACCGAACAGCCCGTAGACGACATTGGCATCGAATGGGATCCGAAAAAGTACCCGTTTGAGCAAATCGCCACCATTGAGTTTCCGCCGCAGGACTCGTGGTTACCAGAGTTTAGGACTTGGTGGGATGATCGCATCACGGTGAATAGCTGGCATGGGCTCAAGGAGCATCAGCCGCTCGGAAGCACGAATCGGATGCGCAGGGTTGTTTATGCCGAGAGTAGGAAGTTGAGACTCAAGGTTAATGGGTATAAGGAGGGGGATTATGTAGAGCCGGAAGGGCTGGGTGATGTGCCTGCAAAGGGGGTCGAGGCGCCGCAGTTGGACTTGAAGTACCAGAGTGCTGTTACGACTGCTGGAGCTGCGTAGTTTGGTTGCTGGGTAGTTTGTGAATTTTCATGTTGCTTTTTTTTCTCTCTCTCATTCTCGCAATGTCGCTTGTTGTGATGTTTCGGATATTTGCGCGTCCTTTTTCGGGTGACGTCTATCTTATGCATGTGTAGTCCCGATGTATGACCATGTCTACTAAGCCGAAGGTTTCTAGATCGCATTTTTAGCTTCAAGAAATAGGTAAGAAGCAGCAAAATACAAGGTACAAGTGCGACTTCCCTGGGTGGCGGCTCCCCGCACATGCGGGTACTAGTTACATGGAGCTAAACTTACTGATCCAGCGACGACGATAACAACAACAACAGTGATCAGGGTCGCCTACAAAGATCTGCAAAGCATAATAAACATTGTACGTGCAAGACTGTGAGTTGAGCTACACCTGTCAAATATGCGAGTCCCTTCTTTGTCTTTACTGACGTGTGGGGTAGCCTGCATCGTAACAACCACAAGCGCTAGCATCATCAACATCTTTCCCCACATCAGGATGTCGTCTAGTGAGATTGAGAGGATGGTGAGTAGCCCCAAAGGAGGAATGAAGCTTTGGCTTGCTCCGTGTGCTCTGTTCTGGAAGCAATTCGACTAACACAACGGAGGCATATCCCTATGGGAAACCGTATCCCACGCCTTCGAATGGTACACAACATGACGAGAACAAACTCTGGATGCAGATACAATACGAAGCATATGTTGACGGCATCGATCTGACCGTACTACCTTTTGCCAAAGAGGCTATCGCAAGCATCACTTCGCTAGCCAGTAATGCGGTGGACATGCAAGAATTCGACTTTTCGACTTCAAGAAGAGTTGATACGCATACCCAGTAAGTCCACAAGCCAGCCCATGACCACTTAAGCAGAGTACAGGTAGGAGTTCCTACTAACTGAAATCTTACAGCCCTATTCCGGATTGGTTCCGTGCTCTCGAATTGAACGCCGCAGGCCGCGCAACACCATCTTGGAACGTATCCTCTCATCTCAAGTTCATGAGCGAACACAACATTGCCCATTCTGTACTCTGCATCTCCACGCCTCAAGCCAATGCTTTTCTGACCGAGAGAGACGAGGTACTAAGGAAGAAGAAGACGCTTGCCCTCGCCCGCCTGCTCAATTGCTTCGCTGCGGAACTTTGCAGAATATATCCTGAAAGGTTTAGTTGGATGGCTATCATGCCTTTGCCTCATGTGCAAGAGTCGATCACCGAGTTGAAGCGCATGTTTGGCATGGTTGGAAGACAGCCAGTGGGCGTCGGCGTGTTGACAAACCACGAGGGCTTGTATCCCGGCGATCCAGTTTTCGATCCGCTGTGGGCGTTTCTCCAAGAAAGAGCGGGGAAAGCCGAGGGGAGTGGTAAGGAAGTAGTCTTTGTGCATCCGACCGAACCCATCATCAAGCTCGACGATGGCCGACTGATAAACTCCCGGCCTTGTAAGTTTCTTTTTCTCCCTTCCAAAAGCCACAAGTCGTCGCATGACAAAACAAGACCAAAAAGAAAATCAAAAGTTAACCTACCCACAGCACCTTTACGTTCCGGTCTCGGGGAATTCTACTTTGAAACCGCCCGCGCAATCTCCAGTCTAACGGCCTCTTCCACCATCGTCACCTACCCATCCCTCCACTTCCGCATCTCCCACGGCGCAGGCGCCTTTCCCGACATCTCCGAGCGCTTCCTCCTCGGCTTCCCCGATATCTCCTCCGCAGCAAGGGAAGCATACAAATCCCGCTTTTGGTACGATAGTGCGGGTCCTGTGTGGCCGAACCAGATCAAAGGATTGACGGACGGAATGGGAATCCCGATTCGTCAAATGGTGTTTGGGACGGATTATCCATATGGCATTGGATTCTGGGACGTGGATGCTAATATCAACGGGCTGGCTTGGTCGGGCGAGTTGGGGTTTGAGGAGAAGGAGATGGTGTTTTGGGCGAACGCAAAAGAATTGTGGAGTGGGAGGATTGGAGTATTGGATCGGATGGAGAAGTAGAGATTGAGGTTGGTGATTCTCGTTCTATTGGCTTTGTGCGTTGGTGAAGCTTGATGTGTGCATGACGTTGATGAAATGATGGACATGAGTTAGGTGTGTCAGTATCAGATCCCATCGGAGCGGCGGCTACAAATTGCGGTGATGTGCAGTCACACATTGGTTGCGAAGCTGGGCGTATAAGAATAAGAACGAAGCGATAGAAGGGTTTAATCTTAGACGAATGATGCAAGCGAAATGCGATAAAGACCTAACATCGGTCCACCAATAATGTCCGGACAAGAGGGTTTGGCGGCATGTCACGTTCTCAGAGAACATACCCAAGTAATAGACGTAGATGAGCTTCTCGCATCCACGGAGTTGGACAGCTCAAATCAGTGTAAGAATTCACTGTCAGCAGTACAATTTGCTGAGTGCGGCAACAAGTCCCACCCAATTGATGCAGAGCCGCAAACCTTACCGATTAGCCGCGGGGCGGTTTAGTGTGCAAAGGCCGAATTCGTTAAGACAGCAGCGACCCCGCCGTGACATCCGCCACATTCTCGACAACAACTCGCCACCAAGCGTACAGATGAGATTGCGTCGCATTGCTACCTCGCATAACTACCAGGGAAGATGATACAGTAGTGCATTGCAGATGAGAAGGTTGGATTGCGCACGCGGAACAATCCCCACGCCACAGAGCGACAGGCTGCACTGAGTCGTGCACAAGGCCAGAATTCGTTCAGCCTCATGCATAGACAGCTATAGGTAAATTTTCTAATTGCCGTTCCACAACAACCCGCACTAATCGATGATTTTGTAGAAAATCCTGATGCGTGTCGCAAGTCTTCTGAGCGAGGCCCCGGACGCGATCGCCCGGCGCTTGCCGATGGACCGGGGCACTCCACCGACTCCATATTGCCAACAAAGACAAACATCAAGAGAAGGGTCAAGATGAGACAAGATTGCATGTTGAGATTACCCACCAGCCGCCTGCCTAGTCCGTCAGTCGAAGCCAGATCACTATGACTTCAACCTTCCGCATTGTTCGGCAGACATCGACGGGATGACGTTGATGACAAAACCTCAAACCATCGGGCGATTTCCAACCAACGCACAGCCGCGGAGTACATGAGCATAGACGTCGTCCGAGCCTCAGATCTAGTAAAACGTCTACTGCCGCCGAATGATTGGTGAGACTGCCTTACATAAGGCTGGCAGGAAGAGTTTTGCTCCACCATGTACTAGCGCGAATTGCGTGATCGCACGTCTTCACCCCCAACTATCGCACCTTGCGGAGATGGGTTACAAAGCGATCCCGATGGCGGCGCCCAATATATACTCCAGGCCGTGGTCGCTCTCCCTCTTTCCACCTCCAGATCCAAACGATTGATAATAGTAGTTTCTTTCGGGAAACCTCCATTATACACCAAACCACAAAGACATTCTGCTTCTGGTTTCTCGGCACGTGCTTGCCATATCCCAAACTTCCGCCACACAATCTTGAAACATGTCGTCACCAATGTTTGCAAGTGTAGACTCTTTCAAGCAGCCTACACTCCGTGAGGAGTCGGGCTACGCTTCAGCCGAATCCAGCCAGGAGAGTCTGCCTGAAGTTTACTTCGCAAAGCCTCACTTGAAGTTCATCAACGCACAGCTACAAAAGCTCGAGCCTCAAGGTATGTGGCAGTGATTCGTTCTTGGAAAGCTTCGTGGATTGACTGGAAGTAGATATTCTCCGATGGTGCATTACATCTCTGCCTGGACTGTTCCAGACTACCGCCTTTGGACTTACTGGCCTCGTCACTGTGGACATGCTTTCGAAGCTTGACGGACCACTGAAGCACAACATCGACTTGATCTTTTTGGACACACTATACCACTTCGATGAAACATATGCCCTTGTCGACCGAGTAAGGAGGCGATACGGAACACCGGTCCACGTCTACAAGCCTGCTGGCTGCGACAATGTCAACGACTTTACTGCCAAGCACGGTGACAAGCTCTGGGACACCAACGACGAACTCTACGACTACGTTGCGAAGGTAGAGCCCGCTGAGCGTGCCTACTCTGAACTTCAAGTCAAGGCCGTCCTGACCGGCCGTCGACGCAGCCAAGGTGGAAAGCGAGGAGACCTAGACATCATCGAGATCGACGAGGCTGGCCTCATCAAGATCAACCCTCTAGCCAACTGGAGCTTTGCCCAGGTCAAGGAATACGTTGACGCCAACGACGTCCCATACAACGACCTTCTCAACAGGGGTTACAAGAGTGTTGGTGACTGGCACTCTACACAGCCAGTAGCTGCAGGAGAGGATGAGCGATCAGGGCGCTGGAAGGGAAAGGCCAAGACTGAGTGCGGTATCCACAACCCCAAGTCACGATACGCTCAGTTCCTTCAGGAGCAGGCGATGAAGCAGCAAAACGAGGACCTAGCCAACAAGCTGCAGGAGGTCTCGTTGAACATTTAGTTTGCTGGGCCATCGTATTCGCGTTTAGTTGCATCGCATTAGCATGGGCGTTTGGGTTTTTTTCCGGGTCAAGGCATAGCATGGGGTTTGGGACATTGAAATACTGGGTTTGCGGAAGCCGCATCCGATGATGTATACGGGGCCGAGTTGCCACCGATGTACGAGCCAATGAAGCTCAATTATGAATCAAACGAATATGAACCAACGCGCTAGACCTGTCATATACGTGATGCGTTCCTGAAAATCGCTAAAGCGCATCACATACTGCAGGACGTTTTACTGCATCTCCGCTCCGCTCACGTCACTGTGGTTACTTGGCCCAACGAAAAGCCGGGTGAGACAGGCTCTAGGTATCGCGTGCAATTGCGCAATCGCGTCCAAGATCTGCCGACCCATACAACAACCCGCTTTGTGCCCTAGTCTCTGCAAGCAGAGAAAATCCAGAGAAGCCCATGGTCAACAACCGGGACTGGGATCCTGAAGTGTCCGCAGAACCCGGGGAATAAAAAGCCCTTTCCACCCGGTCCCGCCTTGTAGTTACTTAGTCGCGCATCTTTCTTTTTGAGTGACCCAAAACATACTTTTTGCGAAGCCAGCCTTGCATAGTCAGGAACGACGTCAAGCCCCTTCGCTAACATAATTCACCAAAACTTTCTACACAAATCCTCTATTCCTCACGATATTCCGTAGAGATGGCGAACGCACCCCATGGTGAGACTGCCTCGCAAAGCTTGAGAAGCTGGTAATAGACACTGACGGCGGGTGACGATAGGCGGCGTCCTCAAGGACCTGATCGCGCGTGATGCGCCCCGACGCAAGGAACTCTTCGACGAGGCCGAGAAGCTCCCCGCTATTGTCCTCTCCGAGAGGCAGCTCTGCGACTTGGAACTCATCCTAAACGGAGGTTTTTCACCCTTGGAGGGTAAGTCGTCATGCCGCCCGCGCTAGGCGAGGGGCACGGAAAAGCCACCCCCTCGTGTTTGCCATGTTTGCAGCAACAAGACCCCTGACAAGCAACCATGCAGGTTTCATGAACCAGAAGGACTACGACGGTGTCGTTGCCGAAAACCGTCTCGCCGACGGCAACCTCTTCTCCATCCCCATCACGCTCGATGTCTCGAAACAGACAATCGATGAAGTCGGTGTCAAGCAGGGAGCTCGCATTGCCCTTCGCGACTTCCGCGACGACCGCAACCTCGCCATCATCACCGTCGACGATGTATACCAGCCAGACAAGGAGAAGGAGGCGCGGGAAGTCTTCGACAAGGACGGCGACGTGGCCCACCCCGCCATCAAGTACCTCTACGAGACTGTCAACGAGTACTACGTCGGCGGTAAGCTCGAGGCCATCGACCGCCTGGAGCACTACGACTATGTCGGTCTCCGGTACACGCCCGCCGAACTGCGTCTGCACTTTGACAAGCTTGGCTGGTCCAAGGTCGTCGCTTTCCAGACCAGGAACCCCATGCACCGCGCTCACCGTGAGCTGACAGTCCGCGCTGCCCGCGCCCGCCAGGCCAACGTCCTCATCCACCCCGTCGTTGGCCTGACCAAGCCCGGTGACATTGACCACTTCACCCGTGTCCGTGTCTACCAGGCCCTCATGCCCCGCTACCCCAACGGCATGGCCGTCCTGGCTCTTCTGCCTCTTGCTATGCGTATGGCTGGTCCCCGCGAGGCCATCTGGCACGCTATTATCCGCAAGAACCACGGTGCTACACACTTCATCGTCGGTCGTGACCACGCTGGCCCAGGCAAGAACTCCAAGGGCGTCGACTTCTACGGCCCCTACGACGCTCAGGACGCGGTCGAGAAGTACAGGGATGAGCTCGGTATCGAGGTTGTGCCTTTCCTCCAGATGACCTACCTCCCCGACTCGGACGAGTACAAGCCCAAGAACGAGGTTGAGCAGGGCATCAAGACCCTTGACATTTCCGGAACTGGTACGTTATTCCCTCTTTTTGTTTCCGTCTTAACTCTCTCGAAACTAACAAATTGTGAAAACAGAGCTCCGCAAGCGTCTCCGAACCGGCCAAGAGATCCCCGAATGGTTCTCGTACCCCGAAGTCGTCCGCGTCCTCCGCGAATCACACCCGCCTCGCAGCCAACAAGGTTTCACCGTCTTCCTGACCGGCTACCAGAACTCTGGCAAGGACGCCATCGCACGCGCTCTCAACGTCACCCTGAACCAACAAGGAGGCCGATCCGTCTCCCTCCTCCTCGGCGACACCATCCGCAGCGAGCTCTCGAGCGAGCTCGGCTTCAGCCGATCCGACCGTGACAAGAACATTGCCCGCATCTCCTTTGTAGCCGCCGAGCTCACCAAGGCTGGTGCCGCGGCAATCGTTGCGCCCATTGCTCCTTTCGAGGACTCGAGAAAGGCGGCCCGCCAGACTGTGGAGCGATTCGGTTCCTTTTACCTTATTCACGTTTCTACCCCGCTTGAGCACGCGGAGAAGACTGATAAGCGTGGCGTGTACGCCAAGGCGCGCGCTGGTGAGATCAAGGGCTTCACCGGTGTTGACGACCCGTACGAGGTGCCTACCAACGCTGATTTGACTGTGGACTTGTCCACTACCAATGTCAGGACAGCGGTTCACCAGATTGTCCTGCTCTTGGAGAGCCAGGGTCTTCTGACACAGTTGTAGATGGTTGGCGAAAAAAGTGGTTTTCCTTTTTTCCTTTTTTTTTTATCCTCCCCTTGTTTTGGCATTGATGCGATGAGAGCTGCATTGTTCTTTTAACGGATTATGATTGGATGGTTATTGTGTTGACCTGGCTTTACGAATTGCTGGGGTTCAAAATACACGGCATAGATGATGTGGTACCTAGACATATGGTTTAGACGATTGGTTACGAAGAGCAGCAAAGTTGCTTTCTGTATCTGGAATATACAGATGGAGTCGATGAATGGTGTTCATATCAACCTTGACGTGATGACTCTATGTTACTGTTTGGAGGAGTGTCTGTGACTACTTGTCGCTGACTATAGATTGAACATGCTGTCTGGCATACCGTTCTTAACATCCTATTCGTGCTTCATCTTTCTTCCCTCCATTTTCCATCTCAATCTCTTTGTCTCAGACGAACCACCCAGCAGCAACAGCTAGTCCCCCACCAATCACCGCAGCAAACTGCACATCTAACAAACCATTAGCATATGTCCCAGCCCTAATCAGCCGGAGAACGAGAATCCAAAGGAGAAAAAAAAGGAAACGAAATACCTTTTGTAGACCCTGCCGCACCCGTAGTAGGCGTCGCACTCGGACTCTGAGCCACCCTTTCGGAAATACTACTCGCAGCCGACGACAACGCCGAAGAAAAGGCTTCGGAAGCAATCGACGAAGCAGCTGATTGAGCGGCCGAGGTCGCTTCTGCGGGGGCTTGCGTGGAAGTGTTTAGCGTGTTTCCTGACGCTGTTGATTCGGCGTCGGAAATGGCTTGGTCTTGGGCGAGTGACGAGGGGAGTGTGGTGAAGATGGGGAGCAGGAGTGTGAGCATGTTGAAAGAACGCATCGTGGTGGTGGGTGGCGAGGAGACGGGGACGGGATGGGGTGTTTAGATGGTAGTGTTGGTGGTCTGGTCGATGGAGATGTGAGATATTTTGCGTATATCTATTCACTTAGGGAGCACGAGTTGATTAAGTAGAAAGTGTGCATAGGAATATCGTCTCCTTATACGTACATGTTATATCCTCCAGACTATTCCTTCGCACCAAAATCGCTAAAGAAGAACAACCAGTCCCTATTCCATCTCATCCCGTCCGTCACCACCTCCCTGGTAGAAGCCCAAAACCCATTTTCCATGACGCTCAGTTCCTCAGACCAAACCACTCAGCACGCACAACCTGCGTGCATGCCCTCAGCCTCTTGTCCCAAATCGTCAGTAGATAATAAGCCACAATACCTCTTACAAGCATGCAATCAGTCTTGGGCGGTGGATCTACCTGTGGCAGGAAGGTTCCGTGGTCGTGGCGGAGGGTTGGTCTCAGCCATAGATGTACGAGTATGGAAGCACATGTTCTCATGCAAGGCTATTCTATGGCCTAGAGTACTAGGACGGGCTAGGATCTGATCGAGAAAACGCGGGTGGTGGTGCAGTGCAGATCGGGGACGTGATGCAGATGATGACGTTTTAGGGGTCCGCGGACGCTAATGCGTGGGAGGGCTGGGGGTGCTTTGCTTCTTTTCGTGGGGTCGCGATGCAGAACTTTGATTTGATAATCGTGAAAATCAATGGTATGTTGCCAGGTTTCGCCCTGTACATGTTCTTGTTCATTCACACAGTCGGTGCCTGCTCACACGTTCAATCGTCCACCCCTCAGGATCTCTGACGGAGCCTACTGCGAGCCTGCCCACCTCAGAGGTACTCTTCGTGTCTCCGAATCGTATCTTGACGTCTTTGAGAATACGAACCCGGTCTGAAGCCTCGAGAAACGATCCAGTAGGCGGTAGCGCCACGTAAGGATTATCCCTCATCACGAGGCTCGACATGTTCATCATGATGTCGGGACCGTTTGTTAGGAATGTGCGAAAAACCGTAGGGATGAGGGCTCGCGAGGATCAAAAGGGATGACGCAAATGCCAACACGGCGGCCCAACCCTTGTGCGCTTAAATAACCATTTCTTCTCTTTTCACCGTTCCTAAAGTAGACCAAGCTTTTGTCATGAATTTTTCTGTAGAGCTTTTAGTTTGGCTGATTGCTAGACCAGCGAAACTCGTATTGTCGTCAGTGTAAGCCGTGGCAGCAGTCAACCCGCCGGTCAAGGCATAGAATCCGTTCATGCAAGTCCAATAAGCATTAAAGAGCTGTCCTAGATGGTAAGAATACGCTTTGTCTAGCGCAGGCGTGCTGTTTGTGAACGGTTCAAATTCGTCAAAGTTTGTGTATGAATAGTGTGCTATCTACAATGCAAGTAAAGGATCTCCAGGAGCTATAAGACAAAGATCAAGCATAGTTGAAAAGCGTGATATCCAGCTTGAAACGTGCGTACGAAATGTGATGCAAGTTTCGGCCAATTTGAACTACCACCAGCGGTATAGAAATCGCGTTGAGTTTGAGCTGCTGGTGGATGACTGGGTCATGAGCGGCGAATTTTAGAAGCAGCACACGTCGTTCTGGTCCAGAAGTGCTCCCGTTACCCGCAGTAGTGATAGGAATCGCGTCGTCCCAACCTACTGCGTTATAACTTGTATTAGCGAGAAAGAGACCTTGAGGCAGCCAGGATTTCCGGTACCTTGGAACTGCTGTGCAATCCAGAGATAGGTAAGTATAATGTCTGGAGATTCATGTTCATAATGACCGCATCTTTGTCGTTAAGACCTGTCGTAGGAACCCCAAAAGGTGATGCGAAGGTCGCATTCGTAGTCTAGTCCGTATTCACTCTGAACCATCCATCTTTGTCTGCGCTAACTGTATCTTCGAGCGCCTCGACTAAGGGAATCTTTACATTACCCCACAGCGTTTTTAATGAGACATAGTACAGTACAATTAAGGCTAGTACAAGGTATATGTAGGTTGATTTCTAGTATTGCATAGGTATATAAAAGATACTTATGATCAGTGGACTACTGATCATGGTGCAGGATAGTATATATCGTCAGCTAGGTCTGGAAGCAACAGGTCAGTAGAAAGCGGGGTTAGCGCACGCTTGGTGGCTTATTGATAATGGTGGCGTTCTCAGCTCGACCTCGGGACCCACGAGTCGCCCTTTGGTTGCCAACAACATCCTGAACCTCTACAATCGCTTTTTAATCACTGCACACTGGCACAACTGGTACGTATTCTCGATTTGCTCATAGGTGGGCGCCAGTCGCGTGTCCTTCTATCCGCCACGGTACGACCAGTCTCCTGAGAATACACCATGATGTAGTGACATTATAGGTCTGCATGCGGAAACCGCGGCAGGACTGGGAAAAAGAAGCATATTGAAGATTCTGCCTGGGAGTTCCAAAAGATATTGTAAAGGGAGCAGTCTACAAAGCTCCTCAATCTAATCTCAATCATTAGTCTAACCCCTACTGTCAGCCGCAGTGAACATACCAATCACGTGCATCATGGTCTGAGCCTACGAACCCTGCAACAACGCTAATACTCCCATTCGACCTCAATAGCATGCGCAACGATTGCCCAGCTTTCACATGTCAAACTCACGCCATATGGTCGTACGGTGTTGATGCCAGTCCCTCCGATGCCACCGACAAGATCACACTGCCGACACTGCTTGTACAGTGTACAGCGAATGCGGGTTAACGCTCGTCTTCATTCGCAACGCTACCCATACTGACATGTCATCGAGAGCATCAATGCTACTCAGGTATCAGATACAGCAAAGCACAACGGTCCCCACCCTCAGCTGAGGCTGAAACCATGATCGATGTTGAAAATGATCCAGATCCACGCTAATTGGTCAACACCAGATCGTGTTGCGGCTGCATGTGAGTGACCTCAGCCGCACTCGCTAAGCATTGTGAACGATCTCTACTGTCTGGCGTGTAAGTAAGAAGCGGAGTACCCTTCGCGATGGGCGATTAGAATGCAAGAAAAAAGCTCTTGGCGTCTTGGTTCCGCGTGCCCAGCGACTACATAAGCTTACCCCGCTCTTTTCATGCTCCAGAGGCTGAGATGGGTCGCATCCTTCCTTGACCAAGGTTGTTCGATTGTTAATCTCGGCGTAGTCTTCGCTATCTGTACCTGGCCTCCGATACCATGGGCCAGAAATCGTCCAAAGGGAAACGTCTTCGAAAAGGTCAGACTTCATACCAAGAAAGATGTAATCCCACGTATGCTACTTATTCGGCAGAACGGGGTAATACGACTGTATTGCCAACCAAACCGGGCGATCAATCGCACCTACCGACTCAACACGATTACCCTCCGCGTCGCCTGTTCTATCAATCGCAGGATACATCTACCAGGAAGGGTCAGAACGCTGGCTATTTACCACCAAAGCCAGCCAGCCCGGTATCCGGTACGGTTCAAGACGGCAATTCACCCTATCGGCCGCTGAACCGTTCACAAAATGAGGTTCGATTGTTAAGAATCCTGCCGCCCATCAATAATCAACCACACCACGACCCCTCAAAAGTACTTGACTTCTCGAACGACATGGTTGAGTGCTGGCTTGAATATGAAAGTCTGGACCGTATTGTTGAAATGCGCAAGGGGGCGCTTGCGCGATCTGCTGTTAGGAAACATCTAGCAGACATGCTACTTTCTGGAGCAGAGGAGATACTGCCCGATGACGACGGCACAGGTTTTCAAGTGGCCGAAGCCTTGAAGAAGACCATATTCGAGGATATGGATGCGGAACTTGATGAGGATGTTGAGCTGCCCATTCATTCAACCAGGAAGAGGATGTTAGAGATGATTTACGAAGCTACTCAAACGATGAGGGCGGATATGGAAGCCCCAGGGGTCTTGTTCACAGAGTCAGCAACAAAAGCAGAAACATGGTTGAAAACTTTCATTTGGGCGCCCCTAAGTGGTAACGAAGTCCATCCGGAGAAGGATCAAGGGGGCTACTTCGCTTTGTCGTACGTCTGGTCCGATACCAAACTCTCCATGCAATTCCTGGATGAAGAAACGAGCAGGCTCATGAGAACCAGCCAGGCTGCAGGCAAGAATTTAGACCAAGTTCTCTCAGGTGTCGAGCTGCCCGAGGGCATATCATTCTTGAAACCACAAAGAAGCAATCGGCCTATTAAGTTGAACGGAAGCATCATTCAAGTTGGGCCCAATCTCGAAAGTGCACTCAGATCGCTGAGAGAGATACCAGAAGTTCAGAACGGAAAGAGGGTGTGGATTGACAGCCTTTGCATCAACCAAAAAGACATCGAGGAGAAGAGCTACGAAGTGAAGCGAATGAGAGATATCTATTCTCATGCTGATAGGGTGATATCCTGGCTTGGAGAGGACACTGAACATGCGGGGCGCGTCATAGAGATGATGAACACAATCGGCGGCAGCATCCTCACGGAACAGGACTGCTCGAGGATTTCTGACTGGTTTTTCTCGTTCATCGAGAGCGAAATGGGCGTTTACGTTGCCAAGTTTCTCGCTCATCCTTATTGGTCTCGAATCTGGATAGTCCAGGAAATTGTACTGGGCAGTGAAAAGAGCATCACAGTATGCGGCGCTAGGCGATTTCCCACGATACACATCCTGCGGTTTGCGAGTCGAATACTCAACGACCAAGATGATGGCAGGACCTTCAATACTCATCTCACCCTCTACACGCCGACAAACAGTTACTCAGACGCAGTGTCAGTCGGACGCCTGACGGCGGGGTTGCGAAAGCTTTCTGATCTGTGTACGTTGCAGAAGAACCTAGAGCTACTCACCTGCAAGTCTGGAACTAACACACTATGGTTCCGTACCGCCTCAAACAACTTCGCAACAGATCCAAGAGACCTACTCTATGGGATGATGAGCCTGTTGCCGCGCGACCTAGTCCCCCTTATCAACGTAGACTACAGCCCAAACAATACTTACAAAGACGTCATGATCGATTTTGCAACTGCGCAGATCCACTCCACTCGAAACATTTCCTGGATACTCCATCGTCCATGGTCGCCTTTTCCCGGTTGGCAAGACTGGCCTTCGTGGGTTCCAAATCTCTCCATCCCCTTCAGCTATGCTCATTTCATGTGGAACTACGGCACACAAGCTCTCCAGGACAGCAAGGATTGTGAATCGTATACAACACGCCGAGTAGGTAACCATGCCATACTCACCTGTCACGGCTTCTTTATCGATACCGTCAAACAAAGCACCAAAAGCGTTGCTGCTAAGCGCTACGAACTAAGCCAGTATTTGATCATGAGGCCATGGCTCTTGGACGAAATTGCACCAGAAGTAGGAATGGACGAATGGGAGATTCGAAAACACACTCGGTCTAACCTAGATCAGTTCCCGGAGCATGAGCCGTCGCCAGAATTGATCTTGAAAACTCGGCCCGATCACCGCTATGGCAATGTGCAAGGTCTGCGAAATGCGATTTCAGAATGCTTCAAGAGACTGCGCTTGACACCGCACCATGAGCATGAGAGCATGTTTGATATCCCACTAGATTTAATTGAGAACGCCCCCACTCCTGCTCTTCCCGGACTTACTATGCAGGTGGACGTACCGGTATTACATATCTTGCAGCAACTATTGGGCGCCTTTTCAGAGATTGACCTGTGGGGCATAACGTTTCGCGACTTATTTTTGCAACATTGCTCTAGAACGCCGATTCCACAACTTCGGCGACAAGATCGGACAGCTTTGATTGGCCGTATGTTCACGACATGCACGGGGTATGTGGGGGTTGCTTTGGGTAACGTGTGCCGTGGAGACCGGGTTTATCTATTGAAAGGGTGTCTCATGCCGGTTGTGCTGCGTCCCAGCTCAAGATTAGAAGGCGCGTATGAGCTAGTTGGCGGCGTATGTGTGCCAGGTATCATGCACAAGAAGGAATCCGAACTCATGGCTGAGGGGATGGTGCCGGAGACAGTCATGTTGGTGTAGTTAGGTCAGTTTGGTTGAGGTTGGTCACTACACAAGAGCAGAACGATTAATTTTCGATATAAATCCACCGGAGGAACTTCTTTTGCAGCCCCGAAAGCCCTCAAAGTCATGAAGAAGGACACCCAGGATGAATGGTGAGCATGTGTGGCGGCATATGCAAATGGCAAACATCAGAAGATGCAAGCCTTTGTTAAATACAGGTGGCACAGCCCACATTCTCTCAAATTACATCACTTATGTCTCACAGTAGCCGAAAAAATAATCGATAATGTTGCAGCAGATATCGCATTGTGATGTGTGAGGGCGTCGTTGAAATGCCCACCCCTCCCCTCCTCCCCCACCTCGACAGCCTTACGCCTACATCCAACATTACCCCCCTTACATAAACGCATTCAGAGCCGCACCACCAACACCGAACAAAGCAGCATATTTAACTTCTGCAATATGTCAGCCTTCTTAAACTCCGATATCCATATTTGCTTTTCCCGTGTACTGCACCAGCAGGCGGGAAACGCGCTCATCACTTACCATGAGCATTCGCACCGCCCGTGCTTGTCGCCTTAGCTGAAGCGACAGACGCCGACGAGGCTGAGAGAACAGATGCAGCCGATGATAAGGCGGTAGGGTTGATCGCACCAAGGCTACTGGAAACACCAGCTGGAATTTCTTGCGCGGTGGTCAGTACGCTAAGGAAGGCGATGAGGTATAGTGGTTTTGTGAACATGATTGTAAAATGTATGTGATAAATACCACAAATCTGGATGCGTCGTTGATGGGTTCAATGAATTCAGTAATCGCGCATGCGACTTTGTCACTCGATTAAACCAGTGAACTCTGTTTTACATACTATCATGTCTTGCTACTACGACCATGTATGACGCAGATGGTAAAATTAATCGACAAGTTAGTTCTGCCATACACAATGCTTCTTCTTTGCTCCGATCACCATGCTTCGGTAAGTATGGTTAGCGGACTTCCTAGTCCGGAATAGCTCCATGGTTAGCGCGAATCTACGGAAGCTGAATGACGTGATTAAGAAGGAACTCGGTCTTGAGATAGACAACTCACAACACAGGGATAGGGATAGTTTAACTTAGGCTATGTCCCAGCCAAGTGTACAACCCGTATGTACCCTTTTGAGACTAAGGGTCTGAAGATCACTTGGTATCGCGTCACTTGTTGCTGCGAAGTCATGTGTTGACTTTACAAGACAGACGATGTCAGAGGATACCCAAAATACTCTACTACGACAGGGAAGCCTATTTATGCTAAAGAAGACCAATCTTCTGCCCTAATATACTCTTCTACTGTTGTAGTCTCGATCCCAAGATCCCAAGGAAGCTTTACATCGGGATCGTTACCTACATACCCAAACTCCTTGACGAACGAGAAATTGTCGATCATCTCCTCTCTGACTAGCTCCGGCCAAGCCTCTGCAAATTCATCCTTGGAAATGGGTCGAGTAGTAGTCGGAGCCCCAAGGATCTTCCCCCAAATGTCCGCAACTTCGGCTCTAGTCTTGAATTCACTGACGCCGTAGATGCGCGTGCCAGGCTCTTGGTCAATGACTAGAGCTTTAACAAACTTTCCAGTATCTCTCGAAGCCACGACCCATGGAATGGTACTGAATTCTTTCGGGCCTGGAAGCTGCGGGTCATTGATGGCCCAGCTGCCATCTGCCTGCTTTTGAGGCGAAAGAAAGCCTGGTGCCGTCCAATTCTCAGTGAAGACGCCCATGACAAAGGTGCCGAGGATTTTTGCGAGCTCTGGCACATTGCTGCGGATATGTTGTTCGATCTTCGCCTTGGAGTCAAAGTGGTACACATGTGTGTATTTGCCGCCGCTGAGTTTCGTGACCGGGGTCAACGTTGAGAAGATAAATCTCTCCAGAGACTGGAGGACCTTGGGGTCTGATGCGGCTTCTACAGTATTCAATCCTTGCTGTACCTCCTGCTGATGACAAAGGAGGGATAGGAACGTGCCAGTTGCCGATGCTTTTTCATGGGTCTCCTTTTGCTTGAAGATGGTCCAGAAATCGGTAACGAGGAAGATTGCTGTAGCACCAATGAACGCCGCCTCGAGTGATTCCTTGTCATTCAAGTCGCCTTTGACAAGCTCGACACCTTTAGCGGCCTGGTTCTTAGCGGACTTAGACTCTGGGTTGCGAGTGACGCCACGAACTTTCCAACCTCCAAGGCTCAGAAATGTTGTCGCAACTGACGAACCCTTTGTAATGTCAGCGTCTAGCGACTTGGTCGTGAAGATATCATATTCACCTGCGTTCCTGTAACACCGAGGACAACAATCAACTTTTGCGGACTTGCCATAATGTATAGAACCACGAGATTGAAAGTATTCCTGCGTTATACGATCAGAAAGCTAGCTTGAGGAAAGAGACAACAGCAAAGTACCTTTCTGTTCGACCGGTTTATATAATACCCTCTCAGGTCTGATGAATTGTGTTGGGGGTGCTCGTTGAACCTCGGATATTAACTAGCGCAAAAATTGATAATCTGGTGGACACGAAGTCTATTGACAGCCAAGGATTTACTCTCCTAAGTTAGCAAAGAGTGTATATTGCAATACTAGCATACATCACCGAGGTTACAGAACACGTAGTCGACGCTCACAAATGCGAAAACGTGAATGAAAGCTCGCACGAACTGTAGATAGTGCGAAAGCACTAATGTTGCCAAAAGTGCGGAATTCCGCTGAGTGCGGAGTTCGTGGATCATTGCCAGCCATGTTTGTTCAATGCTTGTTTGGCAAGTATAGTATCATAGCTTTACATCCTTCGCGATCTAGGTATTATTGTAGGTAATCCGAAGTAGAAAATAATGCAGGTGGTTAATATCTTAGTCATGATATAATGACATCGGCCCGCTGGTTCATAGGTGCATGTTTCGCGGCCCAGCTGTGCTAAGACCCCACCAAAACTACCCCTGCCGTGCAATGCTTTAACAAGCACACTGAATAAAGCATTCAAACGAGGTGTTTGTTCAGCATGTACTTAGCCTAGGCTGGTGAATGGGTTCAGTTCGGTTGGGTTAAGTCAGGTACACCCAACGTTTGTTTTCTCAATGACTTAATAGCTGATTAAAGAGCTTGTGGGCCACTCAGCATGTCATCACTTGCTGCTACAGAGCCACGTGTGCGTGAGGAGCAAGACAACGTACAAAGAATACGATTTAGGCTCTAGGTATCCATGTTCTCTCATTTTCCCATGCTCCAAGTAATAACACAGTAGATCACCATCCTCTTACCACCCATCACTCGCAGATACGCAGCGCACACAGCATCAAGTTATCATCTTGTCCGTCCCCATCCCCAGCGTCCTCTAAGTGGATTGATCATACCACCTCCCTGTGCAGCCTTTGCCTGGACTTTGGCCTGTGGTTGCTGCACTTGCGACGATTTCGCTGGCGTATCCGGCCCAGCCCCCTTTCCTGCTGCGCTGGAAGTAATCCCGAAGCCAGATGTGACTGCACCCAGCGGTTTTTCTGCAGAGGTTGGTGCTTGCTGTTGTCGCTGTTGCTGGCTTCCAATCCCAGGGCCAGTCTTGTCGCGTCCAAAGAGTTCGGAGATCCTCGACGTGGGACTGCGCCGTGGCTTCAGTGAATCCCGACGGGTGAGCGGTGACGATTTGGGATCGACCTGCTGGGTAACTGGTGATGCGTTGCACTTGCATTGGCGTTTGAAGAGGCGAGAGCGGCTGCCTTACGTGGTCCGATGCGGGCATAGTATATGGATCACTCGAGCTGGACTCGTACATTCCATATGAGGTTACACGACGTGGGAGAGCTGGTTTGACATCACTCAGATCTGTTCGCGCGCCTGGCTGGGTTTGCTGCTCTGGGCTTCGGTCGGCTGGCTGGTTTGTTGCCAATGAACCTTTCGTTGGCTGTGGCCCGGATTGACTGGCCTATGTGTTGGATGCTGGAACTGGCGAGATTGTACCGAGGGATCCTTGTGACGTTGGCGAAGTAGGTCCGTCCCCTCCTTTTCTTGTTGTCTCTGATCTTGGTAGAGCTGCTCGGGATACTGCCATACGCGCTCCGGGCGCAGCAGATGACCTCCGATCTGCTTGTGCCGCGGCTGACGAGGCTGGACCTCGTTCTTCTTGCTGTTGTGGTGATTCAACTCCTCTTGCTTTGATTGATTCCACTTCGTTGTTTGATAAGGCCGCGCGCGAGACTGGTGTACCCGCTCTCGGGGCGGTGGATTGTCTTCGACTATCTGCTTGTCTGGCACTCGATGGGATTGTTGCCGTTCTCGTTGATGTTCTGGTGACTGTGGGTGTTCGCGCCGGGATTGGTGCTCTATCTTCCCCAATTGCTGAAGACCTGCGTCGTGTTTTCGTTCTCTTGACTGATGATGAAGGCCTTCGTGTGGCGATCGCTGGATCCTCCTCTGCAGACTGGAAGGCCGTGATGTCTCGCGCTCGTGCTGCGGTTGATCGACGGATGTGTTCTCGCGCAATGGGCGCCTCTTTTCCTGCATCTGATGCTGAAGGCCTTCTTTGGTTGCTTTCATCTCTGGTGGGCGGTTTTGGTGATGTTCCTGGACGCGTGAGGTCAACTGTGCTGGTAAATCTGGCGTTGTTTTCTTCGCCTTTCGAGACCTCGGAGTCCAAGACCATCTTCGTTTGCTCTCTGGCGCTATTGTATTCCTCTCCTTGAGCCGTTGGTCGTCTTGTTGGCTCTTGCGCTTGCTCTTGCGGCGCTTGAGCACTAGGCACTTCCAACATCCTGCTTGGCGATCGACTCGACTCTCCTTCATCTGACGGACCTTCTTTCTGGGGAACCTGAGACAGATTCCGTCGCGTTTCCGGCGACTGAGTACCTTCTCTAGGCGACGTTTCTTCTTTTGCGATTGAGGTTCCAGTTTTGGTTGGCCTGCGGACGTCTCTACGAACTGGGCTTTGGACCTCTTCTTTGTCCGACCCTTGAGCCGTGCGAGAGACTTCAACTTCAGTATCCGGCCAAGTCTGGAACTCAGGTGCTTGGGAGCGGGTAGAAACATTCGTCTGTGTACGAAGAGCTTGCTGAGGCCGCGATTCGCGTTGAGAGGGTCCCGACGAAAGCCGACGGGTAGACTGCCGCTTCGGTTCGTCCTGACGGAAGGTTTCATTTGTTGAAGCTGTTCGACGGACGGAGTAGCTGGTCTTTCGAGACGGTGAGGACTGTGGCCGTGTATCGTTGTCAGTGCGGTCTGGAAGGATTGGAGTGATTGGGTAGTAGTCGTCCTTGTGAGCGTAGACGGAGGTTTGCCTTGATCGAGTGTCGGCCCTTCGCAGAGGGACGGCATCTGATTCTCGACGATAGACAGACTGTCTGACCTGGCTTGGATGACTGTTTTGCCTTTTTTGCGTTCCCCCTGGGACTTCTGGTGACCCAGGTGCCGCACCCCGAAAGGGCTGGACAGATGATGAGTTGAGAGCAGGCTGACTAGGTCGACGAGATTGGCTTTCTACCTCCGATTCTAGAAGCTCCTCCTTGGACCAAGGCCCAAAATCAAGCCATCCTCGCTTTTTGGGCGGGCTTTCGACTTTCGGCTTCGGTGATGGCGTACGAGTATCCGGCTTCGTCCATGACGGCGTTTCGCGTAACGGATATGCTGGTGCCGGTGGATATTGCTGCTCAGGCGAGTAGTTTGCGCCCTTCTTCGGCTTTTGCTTAGGGCTTCTAGATTGTATCCCGACTTCCGTTCGCTCATTGATCATCTCTGGAGGGGGCGCTGTGATCCCGGGTGCAGCACTGCTGCGTCTGCGATCTGCTGTGCCAGGCTCACTCGGTACCTGTGTCTTTCTTCTTGCAACCTGAGGGCTCTCATCGCGCTGACTCTCAACATCAGTGCTTATCACAGGCCCAAAGCCTGTAGCAGACGATACGGTGTTTCCAGCATCGCTACTTCGCTTACGGTTAGATCCATTAGGTATCGTCAATATCCGTGGTATGCTAGCTGGAAACTCTCGTGAAGCTTGCGTCATGCGTCTTTCAAAGTGAACATCTGGATCAAGCTGATCTTCAGCATCGGTATGCGCAATAGGCGCCAGAGTTGGGGAGAAGTGGGCAGTCGGTGCTCTCTCAGACTGCCCAATCAAGTCCTCGCTCCCGTAAACTTCGGGTGATCCAGCTTTGCTTTGACTTCGAGAATCATTGTCTTCATGCTGCGGCTCTTCAGTAATCCGTTGGTAGATGGAAGGTTCGAAAGACTCCGTGTCAGACACCAAATCTGTAGTGCGTGCTTTCTCGACCTGATCGGTCTCTTCCTTGCGATCAACCCCGTGAGTTGATTCAAGAACGTCTCTACTCTCCAATTCGGTAGAATCATCAAGTAGGACTTCCTTGTTGTACCCAGGGCTTTGGTATGCCAAAGACTCTGTACGTGACAGAACACGGGTAGTCGGTGTTCCGCCACCCAAAGCGAGCCGTTCTTTAGGTGTCGCGTCTGCTAGATCGGTCACTTGTCGTCTGAAAGGGTGATCAGGAACGTCTTCTATCTCCAATGGGGTCTCAGATGAGGGAAGAGCTTTCGCCTCAGTTTCACGGATGGTCACCCTACGCGTGGGCTGACGTGAGAAGGCTTGATAAGGTTCATCGTCTTCTGGCAGGGACAAAGAGGGAGACCTGTCGAGTTCAACAGAGTCGTTCCGCGGTACAGCTGACAGCACTGTGTTTGTACGAGACGCTCGCGTTGGCTGGCGCGAAACAATACGCGAGACAGAAGGGCCCTCTGCCAAGTCCTCTAGGACCGGCGATGAGATAGATCTAGCCAAATGATGAGAATCGGTAGCTAGCGGCATCGTACTAGTCCGGCGAGCTTGAAAGGTAGGCTGGCGTGAAGCTGCGCGAGATGAGACGGGTTGTTCAAGCACCTCTTCTGCTACAGGAGAAGTATCGGAAGATACGGAAGCAGGTTTGAAAGAATCTTGCCGCTTTCCACTCGATTCCACAGTGGTTGTTCTGCGGATTCGCTCCACCGGCATTTGGAACTCAAAGCCGTCCTTAGGTACTAGTGAACCTGTTCTAGACTCTTGTAATTGTTCACCTGGTTGTAGAGTGGTTGTCCGGCGAACACGTTCGACTGGAAATTGGAACTCAGCCTCTTCGGATCTATCAACTCCTACTGGAAAAGAAATGGAAGACTCGGAAGTAGATCTGAAAGAGTCTTGCAGCTGAAAAGCCGGTGGTACAGTAGTCGTTCGACGTATCTGCTCTATTGAAACTTCGAGTCCACGCTCTTCAATGACCGGTGACGCTGTGCGAGACTCTTGTCGCCGTCCGACCGACTGTATATCAGTTGCTTGCCGAATCCGTTCAACCGGAAGCTGGAATTCGGACTCTTCTTCGACAATCGAAGTCCCCTCCTGAGATCCAGACTTGGAAGTAGGAGTGCCAGGATAAGCCCCCGCCATTTGCTGAATTGGTGATACAGTCGATCCACGAATGCTCCTGGGTGCGGGTTGAAGCTCGGTCACTTCATCGATGACTGGAAACGCACCATTGAAACCTAGCTCTACTAGCAGAGCATCGGCTCCAGGGTCAACTGTCACTTGTCGCTGAATGGCTGGTTGTACAGTGGTCGACCTGCGAATTCGTCCTACTAGAGGCTGAGATTCCAGCTCTGCTGACGAACCGAGCTCTGGCTCTATCATCAGTTGCTGTATACCCGGTGGCGCAGTGGTTGTTCGGCGAACTGGTTGGAGTCGCGACTCTGGTTCATCCTCATCGCTGGGAGATGGTTCCGAAGTGATCTCCAGCTCTGGGGGAAATTCGGTATGTCTATGCTGTAGAGTACTTTGCTGTCGTTCGGCTGGCGCCACAGTTGTCATTCTGCGAATGCGTTGTACCGGAGGCGCAAACTCAGAGTCTTCTTCTTTTCCAACTAGCGACTGTTGGCGGGATACAGACTCGGGTAAGACAACATCCTGTTCAGTGGCTACCGTTGCTTGCTGCTGCTCGGCTGCCAAACCAGTAGTAGCTCGACGGCTTCGTTCTACGGAAGGCGAGAAAGCCGGTTCCCCTTCTTCCGCTAGCGACACGGTAGTGTTTCGATGGGTTTGCTGAAATGAAAGTAGCTCATTCTGATAGGCTGGCGAACGAGAAGTGGTTCGACGTATCCTTTCTACTAGAGGTTGAAATCCAGATTCATCTCGTCCGACCGGCCACAGCTGCTCAGAATGTTCGGACTCAGAGAGTGTCGCGTCATGCTCAAGCTCTTCTGTTCCTTGTGTCTGCTCGTGTGGTACTTCAGTAGTTGCCCTGCGGATCCGCTCTACTGGATGTAAGAACTCTAACTCATTCTCAATCTCACCATCATCATCATTATCACCAACGAGGATTTGTAACGATTCCTGAGATGGAAAACCGGACAGAAGTGCGCCTGTTCCCTGTCGTGTATCAAGCGATGTGAGAGTCCTAAAAAAACCAGATCCTCGTTCTTCCAAAGATAGTGACAATTCGGGGGACATCGCGCGCTCCGCCACCGTACTCGCGCGCCTCTTTGCAGCTGGCAAGACAGTAGTAACTCTTCGGATGCGTTCCACCGGCAATAAGAAATCTATATCATCTTGCTCTTGCACCACCAGTGACGATTCGCGAGACGTCTCAGGCTTTGTCGATACGGTAGTACTCCTACGGATGCGTTGTACCGGAGGTAAGAAGTCAGATTGGTCTTGCTCTGGTACCAGTGTTGGTTGTGTGCTTGTCCTCCCCTGCTCAAAAAGTAGCGCAGCAGTCGTTTGGTGGCGTGTCTGCTGTATTGGCGGTGAAGGCAGTGGATCTTCTTTCCCTTGGTTAAGCGGTGACTGTGTACTTGCTCGCCGCTGCTGAGACGGTACTACAGTAGTCGACCGGCGAACCTGCTGTACTGGTGAGAAAGTATCACTACGCTTGAACTCTTTCGCCGATTCTCTTCTCGAAAAAACGTTGGTCGGCTCAGCATGAACTGTAGTCATCCTGCGAATCCGTTGTACGGGGGGAAGAAAATCGGGTTCTTGATCTTCAACAACAAGGAGAGATTCCTCGTGAGGCGCTGGTTCTAGTGGAATCGCTGCGCGATCAGGCTCTCCTGTAGTCAGTCTTCTCGAAGAAGTTGCTGTCGGCTCATCCAGAGACAGAAAGTGTACTTGTTCTGATTCGTTCGATATTGAAGTGACTGGTGATAGAACCAGTTCCTCGACTTGCATTTGTGGTAGTGTTGTGAGCGTGTCTTCATCGGGCGTCCGCTGTGCTGGAGGTGTAAATTCACGTGCTGGCTCTTTGAAGGTGGGCAGTCGCGAACGCATCAGAGTGGCCTTCCTAGTAGACATGCGATTTACAGTCTCTATGGAAGGTATCTTAAACGAGTCTGTGGGCGATAGACCTGTGACAATGCGTGGCGCCGACGACGACTCTGGTGACATCGGCCGACTTGCAGAATCACTCAATGGCATTGCAATCTCAATTTCAGAAAGTCTTCTTCGCAGTTGAGAAGCGAGATCCTCAGGCGGAGTAGGCTCAGAAGACACGAAGGAAATCGTTCTTGTAGCCTGCTCCGCGAGTTTAGGAATGGGCTGCACGGTCGGATAGCGCTGTTGGCTAGCGAAGCGCTGTGTTTCCTGAGATTTTTCGATCTCTGGGCTTGGCAGATGATCTGAGGTAACGAGTGAGGAAACCCTTCTGTCGTCTTGTATAACCGTCGGTGTGGCACTGGTCTTGCTCCCATACTCCAGCCTGACCGTTGGCTGTCTCGACAGTGGTATTGTGGAGTGCTTAAACACAGACTCATCATCATCGATATTCTGCTCCGACTCTGCGGCCAAGTCCTTCACAGTCACCCTTCGCGAGAGTGGTGTTGAATCAGTCCTTTCGGAACCGGCTAAACGCCCCACCACCGCAGCGCGGGTGTCTGATTCGTCCTCTGTATAAGAATCCCGTTGCAGCAATGCATCGCGTTGGTGCTCTGTTTCGGGTTCAAAGCGCTTTGTAGTCATTCTCCGAACAGGTGAAGCTATCTCAGGGCTTTCTATGACGGCTACGCGTTCCATTAGCATGAAAGGAGTGTCCGCCTGGTGCGTGGTAGGAGTTTCAGCACCCGACTCTCGGCTTGAGTAATTCTCAGGCTCATGTGCCTGATCATACGGGTCTTGAATTGGCACACTAAACCCGGAAGGCGATGGAGTCAGACCGCGGCCGTCGTTGTAAGTGTCAGGCGCAGTCTCGTCGCGTTGTTGGTCAAGCTGAGTCTCATATTGCTGTTCGATCTGAGAATCTTCACTTGTCTCATACTGCGGGCTATATTGTGCTTCGTTGATCGACTCGGCAGGCTCGTTCAGCTCTAGACCATCTCTGACCTCGTCAGCAGGCTCGTAGTTAGTACCTGGTAATGTCTGTAGAACAGCGGTGATGGAAGCAACAGCAGCCGGAAGCTCGTATCTCGCCACTCGAAGCACCTCCTAGATCTCTTCCGGCGAAACGTCTTCGGCTCGGTAAGGCTCTCGAGTGATAGATGGAGGTTCTTTCGACTGGCTGAAGATACGGGTAAGTGCGCGGCTAAGCCGCCTCTGATCAATACTGCCATTTACCGTGCTGAGGACATTTCCACTGGCAAAGTCGACCGGCTTGGACTCCGACCGTCTAACCTTGCTGGACACACCAGTGGGTTCTCGGCTCAGTACGAGTTGTATAAGGTTTGCAACTGCTTCTTCTTCATGATCATTTGGGCGACCCACCTCGAACTTTTCGATGGTAGCGCCGGTAGATCTTTTTCTCTGCCAAGTAGGTGCATTAGAGAGACGCGTGGGGATTCTCTCAAGCATACGCTGCGCAGTTTCGACAGATGACTCGTCGTCATAGTAATCGTGAGCAGTGTTGGAATCGGCTGGTGGATTCTCATGCCAAGTAGATTCGTGCGAGGCGCCAACAGAAGCTCTACTGAGTACACGTTGTACAGGATGTACGATGAGCTCTTCCCCCTGCTCACCTTCTTGCTGATCCTGGAGCCGGACGTCAAGATCTCCAGCAATCGAATCTAGTTCGTCCATAAGCTGCTCCCGCGCCTCTGAAAGCTCGGTCAGATGTCTCCGTGTTTGCTGTAGCCAACTGTCTTCGGTGGGCGGCTCTTCATCAGCCGTCTTGTCTTCTGTAGCTTCCAAAGAGACTCCTGGATGGTACGAGACAGATTCCCGAGGCGTACTTTCGTAAGGGGCATTGCGAAACAAGTCGTCATCGGTCACCGTAGGCCTTCGCTCGAGATCGATGCCAAGATCATCGGCTGCAGAATTGACCAGGTCGACAAGGTCAGGTATCGACTGTAATGCTTCGCGCAAACTGGAACGAGGGTCGTTGAGGTTCGGCTTCAGTTGCCCAGCAGATCTCACGTTAAGCTTTTCTGCCGTTTTGGGTGGGATATATGGACAAAGGGGAAGCCAATCATCATCTTTTTGGCAAGATGATTGACAGCGTTGTCTACAGGAGCTGTTGGCACGGCATCGCTGAACAAGGTCTCCAGATACTCGTCGAAGCTGATTAAGACTGGGCTGACTATTCTTGATGTTGCTGATGACAGACTGCAAGGTGTTTGCATGCTCTTCGAGGATGTTGTCGATAATGTAACCCAACTCGTCAGCGAATGCATCTCCGCACTTGTCGTATGGTATACATTCAGAGTGATGTCTACGGCGTCTCTGCTTACGACAGATATCATCTTTGAGTGGTTTCGAAGAAGAGGTTGTGGAGGTTGAGGATTCAGACAAGGCTCGTCTGCGTTCTCTCCGTTGGGTAGCTGGCACTTGTTTTGGCGGTGGTGCTCGAGTTGAGCATTGCCAGCATATCTTCTGCTGTGCATGATCGCGATGCTCGCCTTTACCCATATATGAGAAATGACCACACGCCCGCTTAGTCCAACTACCAGGGTCTCGGAGTGGTTTACTAGTTCTGTTCGTGCCGTGTGATTTGATTCTTGCACCCGGAAAACCAAAGTCTTGCGTGACGCGACGTCCGTAACCTTGTCGGTTGTCGACGTCGTCCGGTACTTCAATCTCATGATACTTCTCTTCGACACCAATGTTGGCTGTTGGGATCGGACCTGACATAGTGCTTCGTCGAGAAGAACTGACGTCACTCGCTCCGTCGTGGCCAAGATTCCTTGATACAATCTCCTCGGCTCGCCTGCGAACATTGACAGACTTCCCAAATTGTTGGCTAGAAGTTTCAGTATCCGTGCTCGGAGTCCACTCAGCGACACGATCGATAGGTTCCTTTGAAGAATCGCTGATCTCAGCTAAAGAAGCAGTGTATGATCCACTGCGCCTAAGCCGTTTGGGGGAAGTTCCTTGGTCTTCCTCGAAAGTTCTTCGAAGATTGCGACCAGACTTCGCACGTCTGCCCTCCCGTTGCGACTGAAGATCCGGATTCTTGGCTTCTCTGGTCTCAGCAGCTAGTACTGAACTGCGAGTGGATAGGCGTCTCACAACTTCGTCAGAGGAATCTGACTTATCAACCAATCTTTGCTCTACGTTGCCGGCAAGCGGCCCCTCAGGTATACATTCTTGCGCAGAGCTGTCACTTGCGGCTTGTAAGTCGATGCCGAAAGGCCTGGCGTCTTCAGGTGTGCCCGCAAAGATGTTTGTGGACCTTCGGCGACCCAAGGACTCTTGTTCAACATCATGGTCATATTGCTCCTTGTAGTCAGTCATGTCCACGGGAGGTGTAGCTGTTCCGATCGTGATGGTGGGAGCACACTCGCCACTCGGAGGCTGACTCTTTGGCGCAAAGCTCTTCCTGCTGACGCCGATTGTTGAAGGTGGAGGAAGGGGTGTTGACGGGTAGTGAGAGGCTCTCGTCTCGAAGAAGTCCTTGGCAGAACGAACTGATTGGGGAACATCGGGCGGTCTTGATAATGAAGGTGCTATTATAGGATCGCTTCGTTCTAGTTCATAAGCCCGAGATCGTGTCTTGGAGTCAGATGGACCAGACGCGCGTGATCGTTCACCGATACTGGAGCCAGCCTGGGCAGATGGGACCGCTATTGTTGTCTCTGCTTTGGGCTCACGATAGGGATGTTCGATCCTGTCCAAGACCTGGCCGTAGGGGTTCTTGCCTTGAAGATAGGCAGGTGATCTGCGGCCAGCTGGAAACGGTTGAGGTTCTCTCGAAGATTGTGGAAGGGGCGAAGCTATCGGGTTAATAGACTTGCGTCTCGATGTTGTGAGAGATGGCTGCTTTGCTTCTCCAGCTCCCGGTATTGTGGCAGGAGCTTCAAATCTACCCCGTCTAATCCTTATGTTCGATTGTTGTTGGCTCTGCTCGCGTGGTCCCGCATTGGCAGCTCGGGAAGCAGAACTTGACGTGGGTTGGTCGAAGCCTCGGGGCATGGGACGCTAAGCTATCGGACGATGCTTCGCCGATACGGAAATGGCAATGCTGTGTATTTGGATTGATTGATGACTGTATGTAGAGAGAACTGGAATTATTGTGGTAAGGTAAGACACGCTTTTAGAGATAGGGCAAAGTAAGACAGAGTGCAAAGAAGTAAGACAAACAGATGAGACGATAACAATGAAGGTAATTTGTAGCTCGTAGGGTTGCTGGTGGATCCAAGTGCACTCAGTCCAGGTTGTAGTGGAAGACGGTTAGAGGGAACGGGACTGGAAGAGGTTCGCGGTGTTTTGGTCACCTCATGGAGCTCCTTCTATTCTTTGGGCGCGGAAAGCACGCATGCTGTGCAATTGCTACTATACATACCACGCATACCGTGCTCAAGGAACGTTACTGACACATTTACTTCAACGCAGCCTGGAGGCTCTCAAGGACCTATGTCATGTCAGTGCTTGTTGTGTGGCTGCGCCCACGATACGCACCTCAAGCTCGATCTTGGCCTCAGCAATGTCGGCCTCGCTGCCGCTTCCGCTGGCAATCTTCTGTGCCTCGGCGATCTGGTTCCTGACAGCCTGTGCCCGTGTCAGTCGCTATTTGTCCAAAGCCGCGTGATGGCTCGTACCTCGGCGCTGAAGTCCTCCAATGGGTAGCCCTCGACGGCGTTGATGCTGAGGACGGAGTTTGGCTGCACGGTAGCGAATCCACCAGACAGGAAGAACTGCTTGCTGCCACCCTGCTCCTCGATGATCTCGACTAGGCCGGGCTTCAGCTGCTCAATGGAGGCAACGTGGTTTGCCAGAACACCCATGTCACCGGTTTCCGCAGGGAGGTTGACCTGGACACTACAAACAGTCTCATGTCAGTTTTCGCGATTTCGCATTGCGGGATCGGCCGGGGTCTCGAGGGACGTACACATCCTGGGACTTGTAGATGGACTGTCGATAATCAGTTAGCGTTTGGTCTCCAGCGATAGTTCCAGCTAGATGCATTCCCCCACACGTCGCGACGGCTGGTATGGCGTACCTGATGCGGGAGAGCTAGGGAGAGCTTGATCTTGTCGTTGGCGACTTCGGCGTACCCTCTGCGCTGGATGGGGCGGGCAATGGCAGCGGGCCTCGCGCGGAGGGCGGCTCGGGCGATGCGGAGGGAGCTCATGATGGACGAAGTGGTGGGGCAATGGCAATGCGTGTCGAAAGTTGGGTGTTCTGCGAGGTTGAGTTTCTGCGGCCCCGGGCTCTTCTCGGGATTAGCCGAAAAGGTACCGCCAAGGCGGTTAGCATTCCCAGTGACCATTTCAACTTGAACACGGTAATAACACGGAGAAGTTTGTTTGTTTGTAGGATACAGCTTTTAAAACCTGAATCCCTTCGCAGATAAGAGGTTGATGAGATACCAAAGCTCACTCAGTTTCTAAGGTCAGGTGTAGTACAATGAAGTGCCTGTATTCAATAACTCCGGGGTATCTTAATCGCAAAACCAAGAACATGTCCAGCCCGTTACGCTTGACGAAACTCATGCTTCTTGATGCTCAAACTTGACGAACATTAATCGTCATAAAACTGCTGTGGTGCGGCCATGCTCATCCGCAACTGCCTCTCTCTCTGCTTCGCTTGCAACTCCAGCGTCTCCACGGCATAGCTAAGCCTGTCCTTCTTTGCCCTCAATGTCTTCATCCTCAGTTCCTGCTGCGCGCTGATGGTCTTGCCCCCACTCCTCTGTGCGGTCCTACTTGCCGGTCGAGAACCCGATCCACCATTGTTGTCACGTCCAAGTCTGCCCTCGTTCAGATCGCACTTGGCTATAAGGGATTGTTCACGACGTTCCAGTTTGTCCAAGTAATTCTCAACGCGCTTGAGGAGGTTGTCGACTTCAGGGCGGATCTCTGAGAGGAGTGCTGATTGCGCGGTCTGGAGGTCTGACTCGGAGATGAGTTCAAAGTGCTGCGACGAGGTTAGCTGGGCGAATGCATCGGGATACTTTGACTTGTACTCACTCGTGTTGTCTGCAGTACTTTGGCTAGTCGAGGAAAGTCGCTCACACCTTGATCTAGTATGTTGATGGATGAATCGAGCAATTGCATGCTACTGCGCAGCGAGCCCACGCACCCCTCCAATGCCATGATAGCAAGCGTGTCTTCAGTAGCACAAGGAAGTGTCTACTGTGGTGAGTGGAGTGGAATGTCGCGGGGTTGTTTACCTGCGAATAGTAGGATCCGTGCGCAGACGCCAAGCATATCGAAGTTCCGGTCGTTCGGCTTGAAAGCTCAACCGCCATCACCGTCATCCCTCGCCGCAACCGTCAATCGATCCATTGCCCCTCCAAAACAAGTCACAATGCCTCTTCTAGGAAGGAAGTTCCCGGCGCAGATCGGTATGTTGGCCTGCACCACGCAAAGAGTGGAGAGTGAAGCTCGAAAAGATGGCTAACCTAAGTCCTACAGCCAAGCCCATGTGGCCTTTCTACGTCTCTGGTACGTCGCGCGACTTTGTTTGGACCTAACAAGATTTGGGGAAATTACACCGTGTGGCATTGGAAAGAGTTGGAGAACGTGGAGAAGTGAAGGGTTGCTGTAGGAGGATAGGATTAACAAACGTACCAGGTCTTGTCATCCTCTACGGTGTCAACTCTGCCGCCAACGCCATGGCCCAGTGTGCGTAATCCCCATCCGAAAGACGCAGCCAGCCGGCTTGGTCCATGTTCGCAAGCTGACTAGCACAGCCGATGAGTACAAGAACGACCCGCGCAACCCAGCCGTCAAGAACCAGGCGCCGAACCACTAAGTCTGATACTTCATCATATGGGGAGCGGTCTTTGGGCATGCGAGTGCCTTAGAAGGCAGTGTACAATAGCCGCGGGGACGGAAGATCAATCAAGATCTCTTACTGAGATGGCTGTATAGACTTTGGCAAAATCAACCCCATCACGAAGATAGCATTGCTCTTGCTCTATTGTTCTGGTCACGCGCGGGTGTTTAAGCTTGCCTTGAAGCGCAGCACGAATGCAGACCGTGTTGTCGATTTCTACAAGCGTCCGAGGCAGTGTTCAAAGATGCGACTGGATCCATGCAATCTAGTCAACTAACCTCCAGACGCAACGCGAGCTCTGCCACACTGCGGTCTACCTATAGCTTACTCCTAGGGATTCGCACGTTCATAATTGCTGTGAGAGGTTGAAAGTGTAGATGAATTCAAGCGGCCAGATACGTGTGACGTGGTGGTTCGCCCAGTATAGCGCACTCGGTCAGCCTGCATATGTAAAAGGTGCTGAAGCATCTCGCAATTGTGACATCACAACGGCACAGCTGGGAGCCAATGTTGGGACCGATGCTTTCCTTTGCTTCGTAGCCAAAAGCACGTCGCGAGTCGCTACCAGTCTTGTAGAGGCGGCTGCAGGACGTTGGTGGTGAAAGTTGAATCTAGCGCCATGGACGCGACAAGTATTTGAGAAGCACTTCAGATTGGCGCATAATGCATAAAGGGGGCAGAGGTGTGGCTCAGTCGCATGCTGGGGCACCAGGCGACGGCATTTGAAACGGGCAGTGGCATTTTGACAGTGACACCCTGGACATGTGCGGAATCCCAAGACGCAAACGGCGCTGATCTGGGTAGCGATTCCTCCGAGCGGCCCAGGGATCAGATTTGCGGACCGCAGGCTTGATACACGGCGGCGGGCAGCGGCAGCAGCAGTGAAAGAGCTCGTCTAGCGCGCCAAGCAAAGTGGCCGAATACAACCTTGGAAGGCAGGTGGTCCTTCTGCAACCTCTCCGTCTGCGTTCCTTTGATACAGCACCACGACCGCAGCGTGCTTGTTTGACCAGGCTTCTCCGCTGTTCTGTGCCCTGCAGCTGTCTTTTAGCATCCTGTGCCATAAGAGCAAACCTCGCCCACCCCCCAGCCCGCACAAAACCCCCCCTGGCGTCGTGATTCCGTTGGGCTCATTCACGCCCTACAGTAAGTCCTGCCTGCCCAGCTCATCACTCGGCTCCGCCCTCTGCTTCCCGTGCCCGACGCAGTCTCTCACCACCACCACGCACCTGTATCGCTGGCACTTCCTTTACCTGTCGGTCAACACGCTTCTACTGTCTCTCTTAGCGTTTCTCGGCTGCCCGCTCCGCTTACTCACCGCCTTGTTGGCTAAAGCCTCATACTGACCGGTCCACTGCAGCAGGCTGATCCTCAAAACACCGCCGCGCCCCCATCGTCACAACAGACGACCCACCCCCCTCAACACCACCACCTCCTCCACCACTACCACAGGCCAGCCTCCTCAAGGTTGAACCGGCCGCAAGCATGACGACAATGGTACGCTCCGACCCCGCTTGCTGTCGCCCATGGCGGCCGATAGGCTCGTCTCTGCAGCACCTTGGGCTAACACACTAACAGGACCTCCGTGTCGGCAACAAATACAGAATCGGCCGCAAGATTGGTAGCGGCAGTTTCGGTGACATCTATCTCGGTACGTTGTTGTCGCTAACCGCCCACCGTCGCCATGACCAGCCCAGCTGACGTGTGTAGGTACCAACATCATCTCTGGTGAGGAGATTGCCATCAAGCTCGAGAGCGTCAAGGCCAAGCACCCCCAGCTCGAATATGAGGCCCGCGTCTACAAGTCGCTCGCCGGCGGTGTTGGCATTCCCTTTGTCCGCTGGTTCGGAACCGAGTGCGACTACAACGCCATGGTCCTGGACCTGCTCGGCCCTTCTCTTGAGGACCTCTTCAACTTCTGCAACCGCAAGTTCTCCCTGAAGACTGTCCTGCTCCTTGCCGACCAGCTCATCTCCCGCATCGAGTACATCCACGCCAAGTCCTTCATCCACCGCGATATCAAGCCCGACAACTTCCTTATGGGCATTGGCAAGCGCGGCAACCAGGTCAATGTCATCGACTTTGGTCTGGCCAAGAAGTACCGCGATCCCAAGACTCACTTCCACATTCCTTACAGAGAGAACAAGAACTTGACTGGTACCGCCCGTTACGCCAGTATCAACACTCACTTGGGTGTCGGTATGTATCCCGCATCTCATTCGACTTCACAAACTAACGTCTATAGAACAATCCCGCCGTGACGACATGGAGTCCCTCGGCTATGTCATGCTTTACTTCTGCCGTGGATCCCTCCCCTGGCAGGGTCTTAAGGCGGCCACCAAGAAGCAGAAATACGACCGCATCATGGAGAAGAAGATGACCACCCCCACCGAGGTCCTCTGCCGTGGCTTCCCCAACGAGTTCGCCATCTACCTCAACTACACCCGCTCCCTCCGCTTCGATGACAAGCCCGACTACTCGTACCTCCGCAAGATCTTCCGCGATCTCTTCGTCCGTGAAGGCTTCCAGTACGACTACGTATTCGACTGGACCGTCTACAAGTACCAGAAGAACGCCCAGGCCATCGCCCAGGCTGCCAACCAGGGCCAGGGCGAGGAAGACGACAAGGGCCGCGGACGCCACGTCACCACCACTGCTGCTGCCAACGCTGGCACAGCAGCTGGCACCAAGCGCGGTCCGGTCAACGCACGCCAGGAGGGCACCGGAATGTGAGTTCGATATATCTGATCCTCGTAAGGGACCCTCTCCTTTGCGTTTGGTGTTGAGAACGCTTAGCGCGGGGGACGCCAGATACAGATCTTACTAACCTTCTTCTTTCTTTCAGGCAGCTTCGTTCGGCCAATAAGCGTGGCGGGGACCAGTATGCATCTGGTTACTGATTTGATGCGGCTTTCGATTCGTCATCTCAACTCTTGCGTGACCGCTTCTTCTGACTCGGCTCCGCACTCACAACGAATGGGAAATGCGGCATTGCCGTCCTGGCAACATTTTGGACGGCGTCGCTCCTTGATCAGTTCGTGGGATCCATTCGTCAGACACCTCATACGGACCTAGAAAGACATTTTACTGTCTGGCATCTACTACGGCCAAGGGTCTCTGACGACTATCTCATATCTCTGGAAGCTCGACCTACACGGTATCTCAAATTGGCACAACAGTTCGGCTTGCAAGCAACACATCTCAACTCTTTCCGGATCAACAGCCAACAGATTATCTTGGAACGTCTTGCACGGCTCGCGTCTACTGGGCAGCTTTCCAGCTGATGACTGATCTTTGTTTGACATTTTACGGCTTTCACCTCGCATTAATTACCCCTCCTGCCCCCTTTTTGTGCTTTCCTGCGGTTTTTAGTAAATTTCCTTGCGTTTCCCCCTTCGGATATGGTCTGCCAGCTTGTGGGGAGGTAAATAAGCTTAACAAGGGGACGATTTGTCAAATTGTAATCTGAAAGAGAGAGTGTGTGTACGTGGCTGAAGCTTGGCTGGTTAGACTCGAAGGGTTTGCGATGGGTGGTGTGCGGCTAGTCCAGTCTCTGTGTGGGATGGCGGTATTCCTCTTTCAACCAAGGAGGCCGCACTTCCGGGGGACGAATCAAGAAAATAAAGGGAGACGAGACAATTATCTAGTTCGCTATCACGCCCATTGCGCTTTGGAGACGGGGGAACAGAAGGGGGGAAGGGTTGGGATGAGTGATGGTGGTGTGGTGCTCTTTCTTGTTTTGTTTTGTGCTTTGCTTGTGCGTTTTGGAAATATATGGTTTTTTGCGAATTTTTTTCTCTCTCTCTCTTATCTTGGTGATTTGGATGCGTGTTGTGTGATGTGATATGACGTGAAGTGGCGTGACTGTCGTCTGTTTGAGATGGTAGTTGGTTTACTCCCTATGGTGATGCGGAGAGTAGCTATGTCTTGCGTGTGTTGATTTGCAGCCAACAGAATTAATACGACTCCTTGGGCTTCACTTGTGGGTTTTTGTACCAAGTTGCTTGTTTGGATATATCGTTGCATCTTGGTTCGAGCAGCGTGGTACTTGAGAGGTTTGTCTCGATCGATCAATCAATCAATTGATCACTAAAATGCGAATTATACACACACATACACTACCCGTTGGAGCATGTACATTGCATGAAGTTGCTGGTGGATTTTTTTTGCGGGGAGGAGGAGGGCGTAGACGGGCGATGTGCGATGTTTGTCTTACTTTAGGTGTATGTATCTTGAGGACTTTCGTTTCCTTTTTTTCTTTCTCTAGATGAATCTTAGTGTATGTGTGGATTTAGAGAGAGGGATCGAGAGAAGAGAGGAGAGAGAGAGAGAGATTAATAGTGCGGCTGTTTTGGACTAGTTTGATGAATGAAGAAAAGAAGAAGAGAGACGATAGAGTGTGTTCTACATAGAGTTGCTATCAGTCAATCAGTCAGTTGTCAGTTCATCTTTGCGGTTCAAACTGTCAGTCTGGAGGTAGTGAACTGACCTGATTGACTGCCAAGACATTTTTTAGAATCGCGAACTGAGACTGAA